AGCGGTTCAATCTCCTACACGCGAATCGACGCAAAACTTTTATCAACAATCATCACCGACGGCGAATCAAGACAAGAGATACACGAGTGCGAATGCACTTCAGCATGAATCGATTTACGAGCAACGTCAACGACAGTATCAATCGCGACGAGGACAAGAGCCTTTGTACGCTCAACGAATCGCCGACGCGATGAGCGGTCAACAAAGTCATTCGACATACATGCTATTGTCACCCTCGAAACAGGAGACTAGGCAACACCTGAAAGCATTTTATTGGCAGCAAAAAGCATTGGAAGCACATCGGAAATCGGCAATTTCATCGGCGAATTCCGGCCCAAAGCAGATCGCGCCGAAAATCGATCTACCGGAAATGAGAGAAGCGGTGTATTGGCAACAATTGAAGAGACTGGACGAAGAGCAACAGCGGCGAATCTACGAGCGGAATGCGATGGAGGATAGGCTATATGGAACATACAATAAGACGAGAACGAGAAGTCCCGTGGCGACCTTGATATCACCTAATGCGAATCAGACGTTTAATTCTAAAGCTGCGATGACACCTGTTCTCATTCACGGCGACAGATCGTACTGGAGCAACGTGCAGCAACGTCTCAAGATGAGTCCGACCGGAAAACTGCCATTAATGCAAACTCAAAAGGGCCAGAATCAACCGGTGCTGATAGTTCGACCGCAGCAAGCGCTACAAGATCGTCAGGAGATGTCGATGAAATCTATAAATCCGCGCGATCCCGCGGGATATGACGCGCAAAGATCCAAGAGCGCCTCTCCGCACTTTCACAGAGGCGATATCGAGCGTGCCAGTTTCAACGTGACATGCGGAAGGCCAACCACGAACGAAACAACCGGCATCTCGGCGTCCCCGAGGAAACCGGAAGCCAGCGAGATTCACGAGGAAAACGGCAACGACGGCAACGACGGCAACGACGGCAACGAAGACAAACCTCGACCGCCGCATCCGATATTTAAGAGGGGAAGCCTCATAGGAGGAGAATCAGTCGAGTACGGTAGTACAGGGCCCAAGAGAGTCAGCTTCTCCAATCAACCGAAAATCGGACCGGATTTAGCGACGGGTAGCTGGCCAACCAAGCATGGCACGGCACCTGAACCGCCCACTAGGCGACACAAAAGCGAAAACAGCGCCTCGGATATCGACTCGGTATATTTGCATCAAGATGGACGCGATGCAAATCAGGACGTTGCTTTGTACGGTACTCGCATAGCGGATCTAACTCTTCGCTCGAACAGCAGTCGGCCGCAACGAGAGTACGACGCTAACAGACCTCTGCCTCCTCCGCCCAAGGATCCCCACGTAATCTCTCGCCGTGAAAATAGTGCTAAGAATCACGTCTGCAACGAGGTGTCGACGGTCCGATGGAACAGCGAGGAACCACGCGGCTGTCAACGACGGCAGGGTGAGTCAATTTTTATATTCACATTTTTACAAAATATATTAAATTTATCTATTAATATAAAATACGCCGAATTATTGTAAACAATGTTTTAGAGGCCAACCACGAACGAAACAACCGGCATCTCGGCGTCCCCGAGGAAACCGGAAGCCAGCGAGATTCACGAGGAAAACGGCAACGACGGCAACGACGGCAACGAAGACAAACCTCGACCGCCGCATCCGATATTTAAGAGGGGAAGCCTCATAGGAGGAGAATCAGTCGAGTACGGTAGTACAGGGCCCAAGAGAGTCAGCTTCTCCAATCAACCGAAAATCGGACCGGATTTAGCGACGGGTAGCTGGCCAACCAAGCATGGCACGGCACCTGAACCGCCCACTAGGCGACACAAAAGCGAAAACAGCGCCTCGGATATCGACTCGGTATATTTGCATCAAGATGGACGCGATGCAAATCAGGACGTTGCTTTGTACGGTACTCGCATAGCGGATCTGACTCTTCGCTCGAACAGCAGTCGGCCGCAACGAGAGTACGACGCTAACAGACCTCTGCCTCCTCCGCCCAAGGATCCCCACGTAATCTCTCGCCGTGAAAATAGTGCTAAGAATCACGTCTGCAACGAGGTGTCGACGGTCCGATGGAACAGCGAGGAACCACGCGGCTGTCAACGACGGCAGGGTGAGTCAATTTTTATATTCACATTTTTACAAAATATATTAAATTTATCTATTAATATAAAATACGCCGAATTATTATAAACAATGTTTTAGAGAAAAAAATGTTATTTTTAATTTTCTCATACGAATCGAATTTTTATTGTAAAAAATAATAACTTCGAAATTTTTTAAATACTTAAAGTAAAAGCTTGAAATAAATAATTATTTCAAGGGAAGAATTTTTGAGATAATAATAACTCATATCTCGTAAATTGTGATAAAATTCAAGCCGCCAAAATGAGACAAAGATCGTTTACATTTATCATC